ATATATATATATATATATATATATATATATATATATATATATATATATATATATATATATGGAGCTTCACGAGGGTTCCTCTATATTAAGTGGGAGCAAGCCCCGAAGGTCTAGACTACGGGATTTTTACAAGTTTGGGTTTGGGGGTTTGCACAGCAGCTGTAGATGCCTGAGTCAGCAGCACACTGAAGCATATGCATCTTTACCGGCGGTGCAACTGACACGCTGCCGCGTGTTGCTTGTGCTGCTTGAGGCAGCAGCAACAGCAGCAGAAGGGTATATGATAACTAGGGATTTCTGAGATCTCGTCTCTGCATATTTTGAAACAAAAACGAAAGAAAAGGAGTATAGTGGCCCTGAATAGTATCCGTACACTACTCTGGAGCAGCGCCTGTTGCTCGGGCTAGTGAGGCTATTGCAAGAACCTGCATGAGAGCAGTACTGGTTTCAGCTTCTACAGCGGGAAATAAAGTATTTAAATTAGTGATTAGTGAAATACCGAAAGGTGTTTTCAGCACTGAGCCCGCAACTTGTATACGGTCGCCATACAGCCATGATCGTGAGACGCAGCGGAAACCCGATGCTGTTTGTGCAGGAGTTGCATTTTCGTCGATATTTGCCGTTTTTANCGTGAGACGCAGCGGAAACCCGATGCTGTTTGTGCAGGAGTTGCATTTTCGTCGATATTTGCCGTTTTTATGAATTTTTTTTCGCGATCCTTGGTTTAAACAATGTAGAATTAAAAATCCTTTCAAACTGTTCAAAAATTCCGGCGATTTTCCCAGTGGTTTCGCTGATTTCGTCTGCTTTCCACTTCCGCGCTGAGGTGTACAGACACCGGACAAACCGTTCACCACGCGGGCGCTCGGCGCCGTGTAGAAAGCTGCATGAAATGGTGTTTCGGTGGCGCGAGTTCTCTCTTAGAATATGTTGTATTGTTCTGAAAATAAATTCGTTTTGTGAATATAAAATTAAATCAAAGAAAACCTCATTCTTTCTCTTTCTACTGTCTCGGCTGTTCTGCATCGGCGGCTCAGCCATACACGTTCAATCCGGTGGCTATCGATGAAGCCAGCCAGCGGCCTTTCGCAGTTTTTTTATGGAGAAACAAATGAATTTTCCGCTTGAGTTGATTTGATTTCTTTTTATTTTTCTTTTTTTCTCTCTCACGGGGGAATTGCTGCTCCGCCACCACACGAAGACGACACACACACCTGAGGCCGGATCCTGTGGTTCAGAGCGCAGCTCAAGAAAGGATATCGAGTTGTTTTTTGCCGTCAGCAGCTTTCTTCTCCTTTCTATTTCCCCTTTTTCAATTTGAATCTTCTTTTTCTTCTTTTGTGTTTTGCAAAACCGAGATATTTCTCTCGGACACAACTGCAGCATCTGCTGCAGCCGACTCTGTATATATACAGTCAACAGCAGCCGCTGTCTTTTTTGCTTAAGAGATATTCTGAGTAGTTGAGAGCATTCTTTGTTCTCTTCTTTCTGTCTCTGCTCTAAGGCCACGCACCAGCTCCATGCCTGAGCCCAACCGGGCGGCTTCATCTCGAAGATCTGTGTCTAGGGTTTAGGGTTTAGGGTTTAGGGTTTAGGGTTTTGTGGGGGCTGCAGAGCAAAAGCAAAGGCAGCATGGCAATGACAGACCTAGGCTGGATGGATATCTGCTTCGGGGGCGGTGCCCCCCCCGCTCAGCTGGGCGGCTGCTCCTCTCACCTGCAGGCCGTTGTGTCTGAGTTAGATGTGGTTATAAGAGACGTTGAGAGTGTGTTGTAAACCCTAAACCCTAAACCCTAAACCCTAAACCCTAAACCCCCCTTGTAAACCCTAATTCCTAAACCCTAAACTCTAAACCCCAGACTTGTAAACCCTAATTCCTAAACCCTAAACCCTAAACCCCCATCACTCTCTAGTTACGTCTCTCTCGCCC